GAAGATAAAGTGGGTGCTTCAGCATCAGCAGCGATAAGCATCATGACTGTATAAAAACATGACCGGCACCTGCAAAACCTCTGGTGATTTTCACAGTTATTTCAATGATTGGACAGTAAAAGCTCTTCAGTTTCACTTTCCAAACAGTGAAATCGTGCCCCAATGTCACCATGTGGCAACAAGTGGGGATATGTGGATGGACCAAAGAAACGTGGCTAAGTAAAAAAGCTCTTTCAGCAGAATAAAGCTCCGTTATGTCACCTCTGAGGCTGCTTTGTGATTTATTACGTGTTGTAATATTGACATATACACAGTGGAGGTGTTTTCACCAACACATCCTTTTCCATATTAGTTAGCTCTGTTATCCTGTTGACAATACAATGTGAGGTCAGTGCTTGTAAAATGTATCCTCTCAGGGGAGTGTTTTTGACAATCGCTTTTGAGGGTGGGAAATAGCTACGTGTGGATGAAACCAGAATCTGTGAAAAATTTGTGTGTTTTGAGCTATATGTGGCAGAACGTTCAAGGAAAGAGGCTGTCCCTCCCATAATGCTTGATTGACAGCTGATCCCTGAAAACACCACAGCGTCGAACACTTAACACCAAAGATGGAGACCAAATAAAATTAAAATGTAATAAAAAGACAATCATCTTGTTTATTACCATTTAGCAGATACACTTTCCGCTCTGCATTTTAAAGCATTTTTAACATTTTTATTAATGTTTTAGTGGCCGTAAATTGAAGCCCTTTTCTAATAAACAAGCACATAAAGCTTCAGTTTGTCACAGTGTTACTCTCAGAGGGATGACGGCACCTCCCCCATCCCCCTTCAATTCTCGCTCTTGGTAATCCAATGCCCACTTGTTGCCATGGTGTCCGCTGGTACTTCTGGCCTTACTCGTTTGAATTCAGAGGACCCTCCTTTAGTGTTTGTGTGTAGGTGTGTTTGAGCATGTGCAGTCATGTACTGCTGTGAGTGCCAACTTCTACTAGTGTATGTTTGTGTGTGTGTGAGAGAGAGAAAGGCTGACAGGAACAGTCAAGGTGATGATCAGTGTTGTTTCTGTTTTTGTAGCTTGCCTTCTGCTGCTTCCTATTTTGGATTTTAAACAAAAATAATTTTCTTCAACCTTCAAGGAGATGAAATGCTCTCTTAACCCCCTCTTTATTTATTTGAAGAAAGAGAAATGTACCCAGACCTTCCCCCATCCTCCATCCATCAGCACCCCTCCGCCCTGGGAAGGATCCCCGACAATAACGTTGTTTAACCCATTTCTTTCTCAGTGATCCAAAGGAGAAACCCGACAAAGGGCCGTCAATGCTGTGGCCTCATGATGAGACCTATTCAGGGCTGTTCATCACACGGGTGAACATGTGTGTGTGTGTTGTTGTACTTCTATGCTTGTGGGAACCAATCTGAGTTATATACTTTTAGAGCAAGGACATTTTTTAAAGAGAGAACATTTTGTCCTGGCTGGCCTTGCACGAAAGGGCTAAGTGACGTCTATGACTAAGCTAAAGGGTTAAGGTTAGAATTAGAGCTATAGACTTGAGACTGTGACCCAACTTAAGTTTTAAAAAAAATTGTGATTTCAATTAAGATTTGACCTACTTAAGATTTGACTCCTTAAAGATTTGACTTTCAAAACATTCAAGTTTTGAAGCAGTAAAATCCAGGAACAAGAACAGATGAAAAGTGAGCCTTGCTTTTTAATTATTAGGAGTACTGCTTTAAATGGGACTTGGTTGTTAAAAAATAAAGACAAAAAAACTTTTAAGAAAAATGCTCAAATGCTGTGTAATTTCAATAGTCACCATTCAGATAGATGAAAGACTTGGAACCTGAATTGCAAATTCCTTATGAAGACTTGTGACTTGACTTGGACTTGCCCTGAAGTAAGGGAGCTCGGTTGTCACACTGTTCATAACTCAAACACTAGAAGCTCTATCTCAAAAATGAAATATCGAATTTGTGTGACTTCTTTTTGGTCAACTTCCTGTGAAAATGTGTTCAAAGTCACTCTGAGGTGATCATAGTTTTCTTATTTTTCTGCTTCAAAAGTAAAACAATTGCATTTTATGTTATGCAAGTATATATTAAGTAAAGTAGAAGACAAGATTTTTAATCTTTTGATACTTAACTGTAGCGCTATGTTGCACACTGTATTCAACTCCAGTCTACAACTCCGTAATGAGATAAGATCTGACTGATTTGAGACACATCTTGTATAACTTGGGACTCGTAAGCAAAGACTTGAGGGCTTGACCTGAATTTATCTCAATGAGTTTAGATTTCACCTGAAGTTGTCTCAAAAGACTTAATAAAATGGCTTGAAATTTGATTTCTGATTCTTTAAGAATCAAGTTGCTCTGCAAGACTTGACCAAAAGAGGCACTGGTTTAGGTTAGGGAAAGGAGCTAATAAATGCATTATGTCAATGAGGGGCCTCACAAGTATGGAAGTAAGTGTGTGCATGTATGAGAAAGAGAGTGGCAGTGAGCCTGGGAAGCTAACAGATGCTTTGTGCATTTATGAATGTAAGTGTGCATATGTGTGTGTGGGCTCTATTATGCCAGTGCAGCATCCTGAATAGAACAAAAAGTTCTGTAGAGCAGAGCTGAAATACGCGTGGGAGGTGTGTGTGTGGCTGTATGAGGAGTTAATTTCTATATGTCCTTTTGAAAGAATAAGGTTTAATTCTGTCAGCACTGAGATTGTTGCATATAAAACATTTCTGTCATGGACCTTCATCAGCCGTCACACTTACAAAATCAGACATCTGCCTACTTGAGCCATTAAAGCTAACTCTTACACTCTCACAGAAGAGGTTCTGTATTTTCTACGGAAGCCATACGCGGCCATCGATTCATATCTTTATTTTACTGCACTACTAACTGAGCTAAATTCTGACTCAGGAAATTCATACAAAAATTATCATAAAGAAACGCACCTGCCAACCCCTGTATTCAGCCATGGTTCGTTATCTCGAGATCATAAGATAATTATCTCGCTATCACGGGAAAATGGAGTAAAATAAAAATATGAATCGTTGGCCACTTAGGGCTTCCGTATGTTCCAATTAGTCCTAGTCCTACACCTTTTAGCATAAAAATTAAATAGTTTCAAAACTAGTACCAAAAGTGGTATTAGGTATAGTAGAAGTACTCCCTATTCAAAGGATCATTGGATCATATGGATGCATTCATGTGTAAGCATCGCTTAAATTTTTCATCTGGTAAGGGTGGGGCTAATTTTATATTCTGCTGGTTATCTATAGAAACAAATATGAATATATTAGTTGCTTATATTTTGTATCAATCACTTGAATCTGTAAGTAACTAAAGCTGTCAAATGAATGTAGTGGAGTAGAAGTATACGGTAGCATTATATGGGAATTACTCAATTAAAGTATTTAATTAAACTTAAGTTAAGTACAGTACTTTAGTAACTGTACTATTTTCCACCACTGCCCTCTCATTTGAATTCAACTGCCAGGTGTTTTGAATTTTGGCTCCCTTTCTGATTGGTTGTTGCAGCCTGTGTCTTTAGCATAAAGATGTTCTTGTTTCATATAGTGAATCTGATGCTTGACGAAGGTCCAAACATTGAAGCTAAAATAAATTCAGTGTTGGAATTAAACCTTTTTCTCTACATGACCATTTGAAATTGTGACTGCAAAAGTGTAATCAACTACTTTGTCAACAAATCAGTTTAGTCACTTGCATTTCCCTAAAAAAAAGTTAGAATGTGATAATAAAAAGATTCTGTATTGTTTTCAGTTTGTATTGTTAACCACTTTATATGCACTTTAAGTGCAAATGTGTTTGCATGTGAGGGCACATTGTGTTTTGTCTACAGAAGATCTGTATTTTTCACTGTTCATATACTATATGCATCTGTACATGTTATTTGCAAGTGTGTTCAGCTGGAAAGAAGGAAGCGTCTCTGGAGACAGGAAACATGCAGAAGCAGCAGACTGGTAACTGGTGTTTGCAGTCATGATTTATGTGCCGTGAAGACGATTGAGGTGGTAAAATGGTAAGACGGCAAGTGATATCCTTGACTTTCTGACATTTTATTTCATGCCTGGCTCTTGTATATAAACCACAAAGACTACCTATCTACAGTACATTGCATGAATATAACTTTCTGGCATAAAGTTCTGGCTCTGGCTCTAGTTCGGTCAAAACCTTGTAGTTTGTTCACTGCAAATTGTACAAATTAACTTGCCAGGGGGCCTGTAGTTTTTCTGTGGTAAAATTCTACCTGGCCCCATGTTCACTGTGTGATATTTTTGAAAAAAATTTTCAAGGCAGGCACTTCAGTAAGCCTGCAGTTGTGTAGATCTTGTGCTTTTTAAGGTTAATAATTAACCTTCAAGCTCATATTAAAGTGTATTTTGATGACCTGGAATAAGTGAAACAGTTCCCAATCTGGAAAACATCCAAAATATTCCTTAGCCTTTGTGTGTATGTAAGCAGGGAGACACATTTATGAAAAGGATCTAAGAAGCTGCGTTCAAAGCCATGCAGAGGGTGTTGGAGTTGGAGGGGGAGGCAATGCTGAGGAAAACACAGGATCCACAGAGGTCATGTTAAAAAGGTTTATTTCAACAACTGTCTGAATCTTGTTTGTTTATTCTCTGTTCGAAGTCCCATAAAAGTACAAAAAAAAAACCCAAGTACATCAAAGGATTAGAAATCACATCAATGAAAACCAAGACACATTGTGTTGCTTTTTTTTAAATCAATCCAAGCAATTTTTTCCCAATATTTATACATACTCACTGGATTAGTCAGACAAACATCAAAACCTCTCAGTAGCTTTATCTTAACTTTTTTTTGTACAATGACGTTTTACGTACGTTTTAAACTTCTGTATGATTTCTTTCTTTTTACAAAATACACCAATGCAGGCAGGGGAAGGTGTGTGTGTGTACATATAAGTATATGTTTTCATCTTTTCACTATATGTGTATGCTTCTTATGTGTGTGTGTGTGTGTGTGTGTGTGCATGTGTGCAGGTAAGAGAAATAAGGGAGAGTAGAGTGACAGCAACAAGGGGGGCAAGGGCAGCGAAACAGGGGCGTGAGTGGATGTAAGGGGGGTTGCAAGGCGGCGGCAGGGTGAGGCTGGTGGGGTGGGGGGTTACTCTCAGCAGGGGTAGTGGCGGCGGCGGCGGCGGTGTGCATTTTTTGCAGCGGCCCGGGCCGCTTGGTGGCAGTGTTGCCGTGTCGGAGACGGTTGCAGACTGGGTTGGTTGGCTGGTATGTTGGCAGGCTGGTTGGTTGGTTGACCGGTTAGGCGCACTCGGCAGCGGACGGACGGAGAGCAGGGAGGGATCTGGGGGCTCCCGTTGCCGGCGCACCTTGTCGTTTTCGGTGTGGTGTTGTCAGGCTGCTGGGGTCGTTTTGTTTTTGTTTAGTTTTCACATCATGTTGTTCTGCAGTGAGTTTACCTCCGAGGAGTTCTCCTCGCCCAGGACCTTGTGGTTCTCGTGTTTGGGGGTCAGAGAGTTGTGGATGTTGAGGGAGTCGTCCTCCTTGGGCGGGGCCTTCACCGGGTCCTCCAGCTTGTTCTGGGAATTAGGATCATCCTACCCAGGGAGGGGTGGAGGTGGATGGGTGGGGGAAGAAAGTACAGTTAGAACCACAACAACAGTTTCATTGACCCTGCCAATTGCCGAAAAACTTTACTTCTTTTAAAGCCTCTGTAGCAAATTCCGAACCAATCCATCATAACTGGATTTCCTCAAAGACTACGTTCATCTTTTTTTTAAGGCAGTAACAAACGAAACCAGCCCTCTAACCCAAGGAAATACATTCATACTGGATGATTCCGCACCTCACAATTAAAAATACAATGACAACATTCAGTGCCAATTTAAGAAGTAAGTCAGTCCTTTATGTAGTGAATTGCAAGATAAGGACATGTAGTGCATCTGATTTTTATGCAGAAGACCAAAGCACAGCTGCAATTAACGTTTATCCTTTTATTAACTGTTACCACAGTGTTTCTCTAAACTTAACCAAGCCTAACCCTAACCACATCTTAATCTTTAATTTTCCATTACAATTTTCTTTCCCTAACCTTAATCGTTGTCAGTGAACGTAATCCAGTGTTTTGCGGAATCATCCAACATCGATGTTCTTGTCTGGTGATTGGGTTGAAGAAAACAAAGATGAACTTAGGCTCAATATGCTTCTGAAGAATCCCAGAGATTTGGATGTGCCTTTTATTCATGCACTCCGACAGATTTTCATGTTCCATCTTCATGCTTTAAAGAACCACACCAGCGTGTATGCACGATTTTGCTCCTTAACTACAAATCTTTACTTTCCTGACTTTTTTTTAATGCTTGCTTTACAGTTTCAGATATTTAGATCTATGATTTTTAATATTCCAGGTAGCTAAAGGTTTCCATTCATTTCTGTCCAGCAGGTAAATCAACGAGCAGACTCTTGAAACTTGCTTGAGTTGTGTAATCCATTTCAGCTAAGATTTTGTCAAAGTAAGCCCCCCAAAAATGAACTAAAAAAATGAATAGCTGCTTCAGTTACAGAGTCCTGGTAAAGTTCATGTAGCTCACTGTCACACTGGAATGGCTTACTGTGGCAGTCGATAAAACAGAGCCATTGCAAATGTTATTAGTAACACCTGCATTTTTCCCCCCATGACTATGACAAGTCAAAATGTCTGCTGTGAAGAAGACCTACAGTATATTGTAACTATATTCATTTCACAAAATTACTCTGGCAAGTTTCAAGAGTCGGCTTAAAGATGATCAAATTGTACAGAAACCAATAGATACCTGGAATGGTTAAGAAAATATTTTACAGCAGCATTGTTTGGCGATGTAGAGTGTATTTGATTTGTAGTAAAAGGGCTAAAACCTGTAAAAACACTGGTATGAAAAAATACAATAAAATATTCAACAAAATTAAATTGCAACTATTGCATTGTTCCTTCAAGCAAAACCAGCTTCAGTAGCAGCCATTTCAGCGGCTTGGAGGATACACTGTTTAATAATCATCATGCTTGGCTGAAATGTTGTGTTTGGTTGAGGAGGCAGTGAGGTGAACTGCATGAGCGACACCCCCCGTCCCTTTCCAGGCAACCCAGGAAGCGCATGCACATCCACATGCAAGACCTAAACAATATGCCCCCGTGTACAGTAATGATCGCTCATGCAGAGCGCCCCATCTCCTCCTGCTTCACCTCCTCTTTCCATGTATTTATTGTCCCAAAAATAAAAAGACAAATAAACCCATACCCAAACACAATCTCCACCCTGGCCGTTCACTGGTTGGTACCACCATCATACATACCCAAGCAGTCACTGGGGAAGAAAAACCCAACGCGTTTTAAGAGGTTTCAATTCAATTCATCTGATATTTAATTAAGGTCAGAGGGAACAAATTGATTGCGGAGTCCATTTTAGCCTCTTATCCCCATTAATATTGCATGGCATCATCGACCCTGCTGTGCCCAGGCATCCTGGGGCGTCCGTCTGCGCCTCTACGTCACACACAAACACACACACGGGCACATACACACCCTTATGGACAAACACACAAGCAGCGCAGTGTGAGATGCACACATTCATTCACACAGGTTGGCAAATTCACACATGTGCGCACACACAAACACTCACGCACACACACATCAAATTCCAGACCCTGAGGTGCCATTTACAAACACACCCTAATTGAATGTTTGCGTTTGAATTCAATGGCACTTTTAGAAAGGAAGAGCAGTGAGAGCATTTACCCGGTGGCTGTTGGCCTAGATAGTAACTTCAGGCAGGACGTGTGGATACGTCACTTCCATGGTTACGGGATAGGGGCCCTCTTTCCTCCCGTCAGCATGAAACTGGAAAATGTTTTTTGTTTGTTGGATTTCATTGTTGTGCATGGGTGGAAGGGGAGCGGGCGGTGGGTGGGAGGCACAGAGGCACGAGGACTTTAGAGTGGGTGTTATTTTGGGGGGAGTGGGAACAGAGATAAACAGGGTTTTGATGATGATGATGATGGAGGCACATGGACAGTTCCTAATGTCCTTTTGTCCTTTTAGTGGGCTGGTAAGGGTGGATTGTAAGTTTGTTGTAAGGTGCTACATAACCTATTTCAGCATGAGGAGATAATTTTCATGTTAATTTTAAGATACTGGTAGAATTATTTGCACCATGTTAATAATCTTCTTAAAGCCCCTCATTTTTTTTTAGAAAAAGGAGACAATCACATTGACATTTATGCAGTCTAGGTGTTTGTTTTCTGTTCAGTAGTGGTGAGGCACTAAAAGGCACATTTATCCTTCTGCATGGAATCTACGCCATAGGTACACCGTAGCCTGATGTGCACCTCCCCAAAAATGTACCTACTTGCAGTGGTGACACAGACTGCAAAAACAGTGATTGGTAGCATTGCATTTCCTGCTTGTCCTTCTTCTGCCTCAGCCGGTTCAAGGGTTGTACATACCTTCTCTCGTTTCTGCGTTTTATTAATTTCACTAACTGCTGTTCAACATCGATCAGCTCCAACTCCAACATGATCAGCTCAGTTTCAATCGCCATTGTTTGTAGTAGTCTACACTAATGAAGAAGGAGAAACTCATAAAACATAGAAACCCCACTTCCAACTAGTGTTTTGGCGATGTAATTGCAGAGTGACGAAGACACCAAGGCACAAGTATAAACGCTCACGACGGCTCATATACTTGATGCTGAAGTATAAATTGGCCTTAAGGACAGTCCACCACTTTGGTCCAAACTGAAATATCTCAACAATTATTGTCTGGACTGCATGAAACATTCATGGTCCCCTGAGGATGAATCCTAATTATCCCGAGGTATCCTCTAGCGCTACCATGAAATTTGGTTCAGACATTCATGTCCTTTTAAGGTTGAATTGTAATAATTTTGGTTATTCTCTGTTATGCCCAATACTTTGGATTATGACCAAATACCTACAAAACATTCTATCAGCCTCAGCTGTATTAAGTGCAAATCACCAAATGTAATAAATACACTACAGTAAGATGGAGAACACGACAAACATTCCTGCTAAACATCAGCATGTTAGCATTACTAACATTATTTATCATTGCTAACATTAGCATTTAGCTAAATGCACCACTGTGCCCAAGTGCAGCCTACAAAGTCACTAGCACGGCTGTAGACACTTTAGTCTTGTTAAACTACCATTAAGAAAGAGTCAGAACCCACACATAGGGGCTTCAAGTTAAGCAAAAATATTTAGTGGATATGGAAATCTTCTTTGCAGGAAGTGATGGTGTTTGTGGGAAATGGGGTCCTAAATTTGAGCTTGTATGATTTTAGCAATCATCTTGATCATGGTACTGTATGGTACTGTATGATGTATGGTACTATACATACAAGTATATGTTAAAAATGAAATGTGTAGCTTGACATACCGGCGGGTGGATTTTTTTGTTTGTGTCTGGATCATAATTTTTCTTCAGCTCTTTCCCTGCAGCTGATTAAATATGTTTTGAATTAATATTGTTTGAGAGTCAGTACACCTGTGTGTTTGCTAGGTTTAGTAATTGTTTCATGCTTGGGCATATGAACCTCAGATTAAAAGTATTTGTATTGTTTTGTGTGTGTGTGATTTGTTTGTGTTTACTGACTGGCTCTTTTCTCTCATTATATATGTGTGGCATTGAAGAATGTATTTGTGTCGGGTTGCTTGAAAACCAAACAGGGCAGTGAGCAGCAAAATACCGTGTGACTGACAGGCGATCTCAAAGAAGAGAAGCAAAGATGGAGAAAAAAATCTCATTTTAAAAATAAAGATCAATAAAATATTACAAAATCTAGATATTCCCCGTATCTTCTCATCTCACTGCATAAAGGATCATATACTCATATAAAGGGACAATTTACTCTTTTTTGAATACATAATTCTATTGCATGCCTGCTGCATTTGGTCAATTTATCAGTCAGTCTGAGAGCTGATTCAGTCGATGGAAATGAAATCGTCTTAGAAACTGCAGCCAGCTCTGCCTGGTCAATTCATTTTCTGTGTTGAATTTATTTAGGATTGACAAAAACCAATTCAATTTCACCTTTTGCTGGGGAGGAAACTGTGTGGCTGGACTGTGCTAAATCGCTGTGGGGGGAAGATTGAGGACAAGAGTGTTTCATCTACCACAGTGAATGAAGCACAAAGCGTTCTATTACTGCAGCGAAACATAAGTGCTTTTTTGTGTCATTGTGACTGATGCATGTGTGTGTTGAGCACTCGGCTGTATGTAAAATGTGTGTGCGCATGTGGTTTTTTTTACATGACTGTCTTTCTGTGTTTGTGTATGGTTCAATTTCTCTGTAAATTCTGCAGGGGTTTTCTTCTTCCATTGAAAGCCTCTATGTGTGTGCGTGTGACGGAGGTGGTATGTTGTCTGTCTGGACATGTGACAAGGTCCTCAACAGTTTCCTGCCGCAGGACCGATGCATTCTATGTCTGTTTATGATTGGGTTTGGATTTGACCTCCAGGCTCTGCATCTTTAATGTGTGTTAAAGGACACACAGTTTTCATGGTTTTATCTCTGCAGGGGCTTACATGTAACTCTGTGTCCTTTTGGGTGTGAGGCTGCATTACAAACAAATTGACTCAAATGCTACAGTCTTACCTTTATTTTACAAGATGATAATTTGACAAAGAAAAAGCACAATTAGCAGTTGAGTAAACATTGAGCTCCACGCTGGTGTTAGTTTGCGTCATTATGGACATTAACTGGAGCTCAGTTTACTAAATGTCTACCAAAAAGTATTGGTAAACCTGATTTCCTGTCAAGTAGTCAAGTAATGAATTATGTAATAAGTCAGGGTTCTAGTAGGTGACAGTAGTAGGTGTGCGGATCTTTCTGATGTTTTTATGATCTATTTTTTTGTTTTTGTTTATTTGGTGGGAGGGGGTAAGACTTGGCTTGATCCACTGAGAGTTGAGAAAGGGTGATTGACAGGGCCACAGTAACAATGAGAGAGCTGTTTGGAAAGGTGAGAGAGGGGGGCGGGACTATCTGACATTTGGGATTTGGTCTTACCTCGCAGTCGGACTCCTCTTTGGTCTTACACTCCCACGTGTATCTGCTCATGGTTTTCTGAGGGGAGGGGGATGGGGCAAAGGGTTATACTCCTCAAAACCATACAAGGCATCCTCAGAGAAAGACAGGTCGAGATGGACAGAGAAAGCCGGAGGATGAAGAGAGATTGATCGAAGTGGACAGAAAGACAGAAGATGAGTGGGAGGAGTGACAGATCAGAGACGATACAGAGAGATTAAGTAGCGAGAAAGATGGAGAGAGAAAGAGGAGGCAGACAGAAGGAGATAGAAGCAGACAGATAAAATAGACAGAGAGAGATCGAGTGTTGGAGACCAATAGTAGTAGACTTCCTGTCAGACGTCAGCTGATACTCCCAGCTGGCTACAGTATCTGATAGGCAGAAACCAACTCTCTAGTGCTGCCTGGCCATTATTCTGTGTTACCATGGTAAATACAGGTTAGGATATTTATGGTGTCCAGTCACAGGGATATTAGTTATTAAGGTGATTTAGGTTATTTGCTTTATTAGTAGTAGTAGTAGTAGTGTTTTTTGGGGGGGAGGGAATTTTGAGTTGGTATGGTTTTTGGCTTGGGCAAACCAACTGTATATGTCTAAGTGAGATTGTATGTGGTTGGGACACATGTTAGAAAATTAACCAAGTCTGAATAGTAGTTGGTAATCTGTTCTGTTTGTTTTAGGCTGAATTGATGGACAAGAGGGCAGAGTGTGCCACATCTGGACCATGCAGATAATGCCAAAACAGGTTGTTAGTCACAGAGCTTACACCAAGCTGATGTTTTTATGACTTTCCTTAGACTGACTGTACTCATTTATTACTAGTAATAAATGGTAACAAGTGGAGCATCTGTCAGTGTCAACTAAAAATCAGAATCCACCTACGCAAATGTGTATTATGAGCAGAAGGAGAGAAATGATTTGTTGACATATTTTTTTAACCAAATTTTCAGGAGGATTTTTCAACCTGAAACCAGATGCAAAATAAGCATTATCTGCACCCAACCTGTTTTTTTATTTAAAGGTACTCTGTGCAGTTTTTGTGTAAACAAAGTTATGTTCACATTCACTGTTTGTCACCAAAGATACTGAGTGTATCCTTGATGCCTAACAAACATGTGTGAGTGCATTTTTGTCACATTAACTAGCTTTCAGTCTTCATCCCTGCCTTTTCTGTAGCATTGCTACATTACTCCTTCTGTCAATCAGTGAATGTCAGTAGAAATATATGTTGAGTTGTGCAAATACTTGAGGCCTGCATGTGCATCCTTGTGCATAACCCATGAGCCATAGCCATACTAGTGGTCAAAAACTTCATGGGGTACCTTTAAGTGTGCTAAAACAAACATTTCTAAATATTTACAAATACTATTCAATCCAGTGGATGAGTGGACATTTTGGGGTTTGGGATGTGTAGGTGGTATTGAGTTAGGAAGTTGAAATTTAAGAGATATAGAGATAGAGGTGATGATGAATGTTTTTATTACTCTTTTGGGATTTCTTGTCTGTCAGGATAGGGAAAATGGTATTTGGTTGTGGTTAAAATGAGACACTTGCCTCTACAGAAATGTCTAAAACTGTTGAGCTAGTGTGAATGAAATGAGAATTATAGAGAAACAACTAGTTGCTGTAGCTTAACAAGTGAATAAAACTACTGATGGAGTTGTTAGAGGGTGGTACCACATCTCAAAAACAAAACAAATCAAAACAAACTACCTCATTTGTAGCACTAGAACTACCCATGCTGCTACAACGATAGCGTTACCGCTACTAGCTACCCATGCTTCAGTTAGTGGGACCCCTGTCGGCTCTCTGCTGCCGCCTGCAGGCAGCAGAGAGGCGTTGCATCTCAGATGTTTATCCTGACAACCCGACCGTTTCTCACAAATGACCCACACCTTTAGCTTACCTGTTTGTGACATCTGTCCTTCCCTTACCTCCCCCCAGAAAACCACAACAAACCATATTTGAAAAATCATATCAATCCCTCCCACTTCCCCACCCATTTTCAGGATAAACAAGTAAAGCAGACATTTTGTTATAAGTACAGATTTGTAAACAGATAGCGAAGCAGAGCTGCGTGGCTGACATGCCCACCGGGCGGCGCATGTTAGCGACAGAGCAGGAATGCCATGACATACCGATGCAAGAGGTGATCAAAGAGAGAGCAGGTTAGAAAGAGACCAGGTAGGGGGGTCGCAGCAAAGGACTGTGGGAGTTTTCTCTTAAAGTTATAGTGAGGGTTGCTAGCTGCACTGTGAGGACACTCCATAAATGTTCAGTCTGCATAGTTTCAGGGGGAATTTAACCTCTAACCTTGGCTATGTTAGTGCCCTGATTCACCCACTGAGCTGATTTAGGCTGCATCTTCTCTTTGTCAGCATGCAAATAAGTGTTTCCTGGACACTGTTCAGTCAAATTAAAGTAGTAGGATGTTGTGTGACATGCTTAACCTTGAAAAAAAAAAACACTCTTTCACTTTTTTTTGTCATCTCTTATGTATGTATGTATATATATATATCACCTTCAAAATAGGATAAAGAAGCAATAAACTAGGCAAACTAAATCAATAAACATGATGAAACTAAGAAACTCAATAGCCATCACGTTACCATGGTAACATGCTGAAAGGGCTCACTCGCTGAATCACTCGCTCCTTGTAGCTTGTTACTTTGTCCTGTCAATAGGTACTGTGTGGTGGAGTATGAAAGGGGCATGAGAGTGGTTTCTCTTGTGCTACCTATCTTTTAAAAAAAATCGATTTTCTGTTTTTTTCACATTAAGATACGCACCTGTGCCCCTTCCGCTTTAAAAGTAGAAGGTTCTCACTCAAGTGTTTTTCCCCTCTTAAAGTATGATTGCAAATGCATTTTTCTTTTTCTAGTCTATTTTTTTTTATCAAGATCAAGAGCTCATTAAGCCCACTCATGTCACTTCATTTCCCAGTCAACCCTTGATACATCTTCATGGTTATGAATGTAGCCAACGCTTTGTGTGTATGTATGTTTGCACACGTACATTTGAATACATGTCTTTGCATTTATACACTTACACACAATATAGATTCTATATGTTGTGTTTGAAAATCCTCATAACAACTAACTTTAACTTTAATATTTTTTTGTTTCATTGTGTTTTTTTCTGGTTTCAACAGGTTTCTACTTCGCATTTTTGCTGTCCATTTTCCAATGTATTCTGTATAATTCCTAATAGCCATTTCGGTATGAAAATCAATTTGCAGATCCTTGAAACGTGCTTATGTGTGATACATCATAGTGAACCTCAAGTTTGCATTATTTTATTATTAATTTAAGCACATGCTGATCTGACATGTCTACATTACCTCAGAGCAAGATTACCTTAATAAAATTTCACAAAAAGTCATACTTGACAAGTCTTTAGTGCTGAAATGATTTGTCAATGGAAATGGTTATCAATTAATTTAGTAATTTATCAAGGAAAAGGGACAAATATTTTGTTGCTCCTGCTTCTCAAATGTGAGAATTTGGTGTTTTAAACCACTTGAAGGCTGAATGTATTTGGGATTTGGACTGTGATTGGACTGGCATTCCTGTGACAAAACAAAATGTCACCTTGTGCTTTATGAAATTGTGATGAGCATTTTTCACTATTTGCTGACATTTTATAAACTTCACAACTGATTAATCAAAAAAATATTGAACAGATTAAAATATTATTATCAAAACTTGTCACTCAAGCAGGTTTCATAGACATATATATTCTAGAAAAAGTTGTTTGTGGAAAATTGACTAAAACATGCTCTATGAGTGATTAAGGATTTGAAACGCAATCAAATAAAAATGCGTGACAGTCAGAAATCAAGGTTTGATCTGCTCTTCATGTCTAAAATATGCTTATGTGTATCCCATAGTTTTCTCTCTTATCCCCTTGCATTAATTTTTCCATCGCCACCTGAGAAAACTCCCGCCATCCTTGATTGCACTTTGACCCCGCCCATCTCCCTCCTTAGCGTTGCACACCTCGGAGTATCGGAGAATACTCATGCCCATGCATTAGAGGGAGGGGAGGTGGGAGTCAGGGGGCCCGGGCAGGGTTTACGGGGGAGATGCAGAAAAAGGGGTGAGAGAGAGAGGCGAGAACCACGTTACCTGACAGATAATGTTATCATAGTAAGCCAATGCACGGGCATGAGGGACGTTAGGAGGGGTGTCGCACAGTTTCCTTACATTTGGGTGGGAGCCCTCAGCGATGGTGGACAGCGAGAAATTATCATTGTGCTGCTCCGATGTAGGCCGGTACTTACTGCTGGGCGTCGGAAGATGGAATAGGGGGTGGGGGAGGAGAAGATGTGGAAAAGAAAATGAGGGAAATGAATATGGTGTGGGGGGAAAGTAGAGGGGGAAAGAGTTTGAAGGAAAGGAAGAAAGAGTTGGAGAAGAGGCAATGTAGAGAATTTGGAAGATATTGAGCGGAGGAGATGGAAAAGTCAAAAGAAAACAAAGAGAAGAGTTTGAAAAGGTTGAAATAAAGGAAAGAGAAGATGTGAAGAGATTTAGAAGAAGAGGGACGTTTGGAAAAGAGAGAGGAAGAAGGAGAAGGAAGGAGGCAGGTAAGTAAGTAGTAAGACAACAAGACAAGGAAGATGGAAAACAGAATAAAGGGCACAGCATGGGGAGAGAGGGGAAAAAGAGGAGGATAAAGAGAGTAAGAGAAGAGGATGTGGGGGTCCAGATAATGACAGTGTTGGAAAGAATCCAGGAGGAAAGGGAAGAAGGAGGAAGGAAGGAAGAGATGGGGGTGACGTGAGATTTGCAGGTGAAGATCCACAAGGTCAGAGAAGGAGAAAAGTAAGTTAAGCAAATCCAAAAGGAGAAGGTGAAGAGACAAAAACAACAAAACAAATGGGATGGTGACACAAAATGGAGATAAAAGAGAAAAGGTAAGGTAGAAAGGACAACGTGGGCAAGAAAAAGGACAAATTTAGGAAAAAGATTACATTGTTGAAGAAAAGACAGACAGAAAAGATTGTCAGAAGAAAAAAAGGAGGGGGGAGAAAAAGCAAGAAAATAGCATTAGTTAGACAGCAAGTTCACGTCTTCTGTTTGTCAATTGGCAAACAGAAAAAAAAACAGCAACACAAACATTTAATCTGTGATGCAACAAACTGAGATCTAAATGTTTAAGTTTCGACCCATCAGATTTAGATGACCCGCTTCTTACTCGAGTCCCCAAAGAGGCTAAACTATGACTCACATTTGACCCACTGTTGTCTTGCTGTGTCTAACAGCTATCAGCAGACGCAAAAATAAACAATACACAGATTCTCAGTTGACAAGTGATGAGGATGTCAATACAAATAATCTTCTGTGGTGAAAGATAATATGTCATTAATTCCCTATCAAATCAGTACTTGAAAATATATACACAGCTCTCTAATGGTATATGCACATAATCTAACAGGCCTGACCTGCTCTCTGGCATTTCACACTGATGTTTCCTGTTTCTTAAAGACCACTGATGGAAGTTTGGTCAGAAGTGCGGAAACACGGATGGAAGTTCCATGGCAGAAAAAAAAGACTGTACAACAATAATTGTCTGCCACTTATTTTTAATCAGCATTTTTTAATGTAAGGTTCTACCACATAGAATTTAAACACAAAAAGGGTTACATGAAATAAAAAGTTGGCTAAAAAAGCTTCCCAACTCTGTTTTGAACACCTTCCTTTATTTATAACTCGTCTAATATAAACTGCTTCTGGAAATGGTGTAAGTGATGTACTACTGAGCATAACGTAGTATTATGTGTCCTGTCCTGTTTGTTTATTACTGTATGTTTTAGGGGCCATGCAGAAGCACAAAACAAGTCAAAGTATTTCCCAAAATGTTGAACTACTTCTTTAAATTAGCTTTAAGATAAATGGCACATACAGCAAACTATTACATCTACTAGCATGAGATGCTAAACTTTTAACAGCTACGTAGCAATATCCCTGCTGACACAATGTGCATGCAAACTCAACTCAAAATTTCTAATACTTTCAAAAAAGTTTACTTAGCAGAATTACAAGTATCTGGTACTTTGGTTCTATAAAATGTTTAATCTGAGAAGAAACACCTTTTGGTTACTGAAATGTTCTGCTCAGCACCATGATGCTCTGGGGACACATGTGGTACTTTTGTCCTTCACCATCTAATCTGTTCAACTGGACAGACTCATGAAAACTTGGTGTACCACTTTAAAACAGACGGAGATGAACAGACTTTCCTTTTATCTCGTCTGGGAAGCAGCAAACTTTGGGAGTTCCCTCTTGACTGAGTTAGAGTGAACTCTTTGATTTTCTTCCTCTTTCTTCTTCTTCGTCTCAGACTTTTCAAAGGGAAGATATGTTTGTCTCAGGGACTGCATGAAACAATGACTTTGACAAGAGCGTCACAGTTTTGTCTCCTCTGTCGCACGCGCAAATCTTCGTTCTCTTATATGAAACGGCTGTCATTTGCCTCCCACCCATATAAACCTTTACAACGCACATTTTAAGAGCATCAGCCGTCCTCAAATATCTCGTTACGTTTCTCCTTCTCATCTCTTCACTACCTTGTCATATCTATAGTTAAAGATGCCATGATCTACTTCCTGTGCCAGTCTCTCTGATCCTCATGAAAGCTTCCATGTTTATAGTTCATGAACGCTTTGACAGGACAATGAAAGTCGAGGTAAAGACAAGAAAGAGACAGAGAAATCTGTTCTCCCATCATCACTTGAGATCTCAAACTCTGATACCGCAAACCAGCTTTGGACCTCTCACTCTGCTTTGTTTCTGTGGACACAAAATACCAGCTACCAAAAAATAGTCCCACACATATTACTTCTAAAATGGTGATTATTTTTATTATTTGGCTTTTATACAGATTAAACAAGCAACATATTAATTAGTGAGCTTTAGAGGTGCTGGTGGGTGTTTTCGTTTCCTTCGAACAGAGCCAGTCTGGCAGTTTCCCCCTAATTTCACTTTTATTAAAGCTAAGTTAGCAACTGCAGACCCTAGGTTCATATTTACTGTACAGACATGAGTAGTATCAGTCTTCTCATCTACATCTTGGTAAGAAAGCGTTGATGTAGCCCAATGCATGGTCACCAGGCAACAATTTAAAATCATCTGACAAGCTGCTTTGGCCAATCATATTCATGGAGGGGTACGTTCCTTGTAGATTATTTTATAAAATGATTGCACTATTTCTACGGTTTACGTTACGAATGTCACAATAAACGATAACAACCAGAAAATTATGTGTGTGCACATTTTCCCCAGCATGAATGAATGAATTGTCATTTCAACCTAAACCACAGTGATGAAGCCGGTCTGCACTTCATACATCTTTTCTGCGCTCTCTCTTTCTTCCTCCCTCTATCTTTGACCAGGACTTTGGGTCTGATCTTGACTGCGGCAGAGAAACACTGCGACTGCAATTACCCACAGCAGATGGGGAAGTGTGGGAGTCCCTTGTATACATGAGCCTTGTCAGCAGAGCACACACACACACACGGACACAAACACATACACACACTCCTCTGAATGTGTCACACTGAGCTCTTTTCTCTGTAACCAGCCAGTCTCTTGTCCCTGTTTCTCTCTTTCACTTTCTCTTCCCTTCTCTCCTCTCCTGCAACAGTTTCTCCGTCGCCCCCCCCCCCCCCCTCCCGTTTCTTCCTGCCCTCCTTTTTACTCCTCTTATCTGTTACCCTCCTCTTCCTACTCTTGCTCGCTCATCTTCGATTTCTTTTAGCCGACCACTTGATGAGGCTGTGTTGTCTCTTTCATGCTGCACCCTGCCGCTACACGCACACACACACCCTTTAGGTCGCACAGCTGTATGTAGGTCAACCCCGCCTCCTCCTGTTTCTCCCTGCCTTCCCCCTCCTGTTCAGACTGCCCTACTTTCAGCTGGATCCAGAGTGCCAATGACATCACCCTTTTCTCCTCTTTTTTTCACATTTCTGCTAGCTAGCATTAAGGCTGCCACTGACTGTACCACTTTTCCTCCTCACCATCATTTTCATCATCCATAATCTCCTCCACCATGACTATCATGATAACCATCCACATCGAGTATAGACCCTGCGGCGTGGGATCTGGTGCTGAGGATTTGGTCCTTCGGTTCACATTTGCATCGCTGCTGTGCATCCACGGCAGCTCTGTTGCTAGGGAGATCATTGCTAAAACACCGGCATTGGCAAAGCAACGGCGAACCACCCTCCAACTCTGTTTTATATTCAATCCAGTGTTTCAATCTGTCCGTCACTCTCGTTCTCTCCTTCACTTTATATTCAGTCCACCTCCCTCGGATAGTTGTTTTCTCTCCACATATCTCACACTAAGGGTCCTTCAATGGTTCTGTAATCAATTTGATGATATTAGAACATTTTATCATATATATGACTGTTATTTTCAACCTTTCATTTTGCATGCAGTGCCTGCTGCAATGCCCGGTGATAGTTTTTTTTTTGAGGTTCATTAATTTTAAGATGAGGCTGTAGAGATTCAATTGATCTCATATTTCATAAGTAAAGCAAAAATGCTAAATGCTAAAAAATGAATGAAAAAACATAGTAATTCATTTCTAGAGTTTCATTCTCCACCTCCAAATAACACAGCAAAATGCCTCCATCTTATAACGTCATTTATTTCTATTTTTGAGTTGTATTGTTCAAACAAGTGAAAAGAATTTGGCTCTTATTTATAGAAAGTTCTTAAAAGAGTTTACTTAAAAGAAGGTGGCACAGAGCAAAGGAAGGCCTATGGCAGAAAGCTCTACAGGTATTGGCTATTTGATGGTGCGCCACAGTCTTTTACCTTTGAACATACCAAAAATTTTGTTCTGATTTTCATGGTTAAACCATAGAAAACAGTACATTTAGAAAGAAAATACTTTTGGGAAGATTTCAAACTTTATTAAATGGTTATTTGTATTAACATTAATGTCATATTCAGAACTATATCAGCTTGGTGTTATGAGAAACACTGGCCACAGCTGATGGAGCACTGTTAAGGTCCTACTATATCTAATAGCATTTGACCCTGATGCTATACAATATGTGTGCATATTCATATACACATCATACTTTTCAATACCTAAATATTTAGTCTGTGTGCTGTATTTACCCTGTAGGATAATGTACACCACTTAATGGATACACCTGAACAATCCAATACGACTGTTGCCATTAAGTCTACTTTTATGATATCTATTATGTTTAGTCTTTTGTCACTGTCATATAGGTGTTATTTCAATTATGTTTTAGCATTGAGGTCAGACAAAACCTTTGAAACACCTCTCAATATAATGTAGTCCAGTATTACACCACCTTTCACTATGACCTCAATAATAAACAGATAATTGAATTTTACACATTTCTGAAAATGTCACCTTCATTATTATTATGTATGAACTCTTGGGAAAATGACAGGTGGAACAAAGAAGGGTAAGTATGGACTTATGAGGGTGGGGAGCTGAATAAATGCAAACATTTATGCTAATTTCACCTCTATTTTCATGTTTTCTCTGCCTCCCTCTACTGAATACATGCACACATGTCACAATGTTGTGTGTGAAGTCATCTGGCCAAAGAAACTGCACCACATAGAATCATTCAGACCTTCTAAAAGGTTTTTTACATATCCATGGAGCATGATCATCTACAATAAATATCCTTCATTAAATAATTATCCTTAAACAGACTACAGAGTCCTCTCCTGGTCCTTCACAGAACCCCTTTTCCTGAGAGTGTTCACCGGCTTTTCTTCGTCTTCCCTCTGCCTCGCTCATCTGTTTTGTCATCTGGTTTTCCGCCGGCTGCTCACCATCAGCTCTCCGTGCTGCCCCTCCCTCTGCCCCCCTCCTTCTTCGTCCCCTCCTGCATTCCTTCATTGTCTTCCTCACTTGTTCGCTTCCTATTTAAGCGGATCTATCCTATCCCCTCCTCCTCCCTCAGACTGTCCTTGGCTCTTTTCTTTGTTGCCCATCCCCCCCCCCCCCAAACCCAACCTCCTCTGTCACACAGACCCTCCTCATCCTCATCAACCCTCTCTTCTTCTTATTCCTTATCCTCATCTTTGCTGTCACTAACTCAAATGAGGGATGATTTAATTGCAGCGTCACCTTTACAACCGACTGCTTGTATCTGTTTACAAATTTGGTTCAGTGTTGAACGTTAAAATGAGGTTAATAAGATTAACTTTGTTGATCAAAAGGAAACAGGCTCACTATAAACATGGACATAAATCTAATCCAAGTGCTTTTTTTAGCCTTTTCATTTACGTGATGAGGGCAATAAAACTGGTGCAGACAAACTATGCTGTGATTGTAGCTGTGCAGTTGTTAGACTGTTATGACTGAACTGCAGCTGAAGCAAACAGGTTCAATTCCTATCATATGTCCTTGAGCAAGGCACTGAACCACTACTGCTTCAATCATTCTGAGTCATTCTTGCCTGAAAATGTGAGAAGAAGTGATTGTTGTGAAAAATGATTCCTGCGCTCAGGGCACGAAAGCCTCCACAGCCTCGTGTTTCACTGCTCCTGTGAAGGACGATGCTGTCGTTTACTCCTCCTGCCTTTCTTCTTTAATGTTTCCCTCAACAAATCTCAACCATTCGCTCTTTATAAAATGACTAAGAGTTACTCTGCTGTGAGCTCTCCTGACATTTTACAAAAAAGTATTCAAGCTTCCCTGATCCTGCCAGCTCACGGTCATTGTCCGTTTGTTTCCACTTAGCCTTGTTTTCACACATCTAAACACATAGACTTCAACAAAAGAATACAACTGCTAACTAATCAAACTGATATGCTGTAAATCAGGAATGTTAAACCTGAAAAAATATAAATAAATATACATATATACACAAAACAGTCTCCTACTGCACCGAGTCAGTGTTTCTATTCAACCATGAAGACCATCCTTCCCCAGTCTATTTCTACTCTTAGTCGCCTAAGCTGGAATAAAAAGTAAAAAGTCTTTGTTTAACTGGTCAGAGCCCACATCAGAAAAATGTTCATACTACCTTTAGTCGACTTTGTTGTTTAGGTATGACGACTTGTTGGAATCTAAACATGGATTGCTGTTGACATTTGGATCTGATCAACACGTTTCACAACACAAATACCATATGTGCCACATTCTTACTCTTTTTATTCTTCAACTTCAAGAATATTTTCCCTGTCCAAGACTTATTTCCACACACCACTGACATGTCGATTAAATTTCAGGGAGGGTTTAAAGCTTTTGGTTTATCTGCTTAGCCTTTAGATTTTAATTCTAAGACACTTCTTCCCCCCTCTGCTCTCTCTCTATCGACCGGTCTGTCTTTGTCACTCTCTAAACTTCACACTAAACACAAGCCGGGGCAGCAGTTTGGCCCAGAGGCAGTGCCAGCCACAGAAACAAAGCTTTCTACTTCAATCTTTAACATTGATGAGAGTAATGTACCGCAGCCTAGACTCCATGTGTCTGCTGGGTGAATGACAATAAATCTGCTGCACCACAATGCCTTTGAGCAAAGCACTAAAGACTTTACTTTTTAGTTTTGTTTGATTGATTACTTAGACAAAACTTAAATTAGTCTACTGATTCGGATCTTCTTTTTCCCTAAATAAAACTATTATGGTATAGCCCCCCCAAAAGACTAAATAGCCATATATTTTCATACTTTTTCTTTGTGAACTGGAGTGAATAATGCTTCCTAGCTGGGGCAGGATGACCCAATCCACCAATAAACAAGGAAGATGAAGTCTCCAGTTTTTTATATTAAGCTATCACTTAGTTCAGACTCTTGATGGAGCCTCACCTGCGCTTGCGCAGCTTCTTGTTTTCCGTCTTGAGCACGTGGAGTTTCTTGGCAAAGCAGACGATGATCATGAAGAGCAGCAGGACCACCAGAGCTGAAGCGCCCACGGCCAGACACATCACCTGGAACTCGGTCACCACCGACTCGCAGCGAGCACCCTTGTGCCAGATGTAATCCTGGACGTTACATCTAAAAGAGACATAGAGAGAGAAAGAAGAGGGAATAGAGGACAGAGGGAGGGACGTTGAAAGGGATAAAGTCACAAGCGGAAGGAAAGATGAAGAGAAAATTGGGGTTGAGAGGAAAGAAACAGTAGAAAGAAATGGTAGATGACAGTTTTGAAACATAGCAACAAAGTAGGGATGTGGATGTGGAGAGAGGATGAAAAGGTGGGAAGTGTGAAGTGCAGTGAGTTGTGAACAGGGAGAAAGGAAAGAAAATAGAGAAATAGAACAAAAGAGGAAATGGTTAGTTTGGTAAAACACCTTAGTGATTCCATGAGATACTCAGACTCAGTAAATCGTGTGTAAGCGTGTCAGTTTTTACATTTCTAGCAATAATTTCTCAGTTGTGTTTGTTTTGAGCACCTCCCTTTTCCAATTTAGAACATTCAATATTTAATTTCTCTTCCTGGTTGAAGTTAAAGCACCATTATGTAACTTTTCTACCATCAAACAGATGGTGGAGAGCGGCGCTGGTGTTGAGCCAGAGCCGGGTGAGCGGGCAACATAACTGGACTGCGTTAGCTAATGGCAAAGGCAAATACACAGAAGAGGATGTTGACGGAGGAAGCTAAGACGGAAAAAAAGAGAGTGGCTGCCGGATGTTGTTAAGTGCTTTTTGAAATAAAAGTTGGAAAGACAAATTTCTGTTGGACTAGTAAGTAATATTATTATGTCTTGTGTTGTCACACTTGCTTGAAGTTTGGCTGTGTTAGCAAAGTTGTGGACTGTGGGTGCCAAATCGCCAAATCTTACATAATATTGCTTTACCTGCCTTGGTTCTGAAAAGGCTTTTCATGTGAAGCCCTAAAACCTGTGGATGTTTCACAACATGTTGCATGTTACAAAGATCTTGTTATTGTGAAGTAATCATCCCCAGGCGTGTTCGCAGGATGGAAGCATCGCCGGCAGGTTTTGAATGATGCTTTACTCAAAAAAAAGGATAATGTCTTCACTTTGTGCGTCTGAAAATAGAAAGTGAAAAAGAAAAACAGGGCCCGGGGCATTTTCCATCTATAAACACACTCGATGTCACCCACAAACACACACAAACACACAACTCTGTCAACACAATCATAAAAGACATTTGCGTTTATAAGAGCTAACACAATGCATATGGGCATCCATGTAGATGTACATCACAGGCACATATGTGGACACACACAAAAACACACACAGCCGCCATCTGAGTCCCAGACTCCCTCCGTAACCATTTGGCAGAGTACGGCGTCCGCCCGGGGACATGAATGACAGAGGCAGATGGCTTTGTCTACAGACTGTTTGGCGCGTCAAATGGCAAATCTATTTCACCGCTTAACGAGACTATAACTCTGGTGAGCGACACTGTTTCACTGTCACATGAGTGGAAGAATGTGGAGCTCTGTGACCGTAGGACCTGTTTCCATTAAAAACACGCCTGTCTTGTTTCTTTCTGTACTAACTAACGCAACAACTAACTCTGTGGCGATGGAGGCTGAAAAATTCAATCAATATAATTTATCATTATGCAATGTTTTAAAAGATCATTCTCCTATATTTATACTTAATAGAAGTCAGTCAGTATCTCTACCATGTGTCAACATTACTTTCATGCTTGAAGTCTTTTTGTCAAAGAAGACTACCCAGTTTAAGGTTGTAGGTTTATGGGCGTGAAAGAAAGTCAACTCTTTGTTTTTTTTGACCACAGGGCTGTCAAACTGCCTGACACAAACGTAGATACACACAAAGTAAAAATACAAAACTGCCAATGGTATTTCAAGCGTGAAGGAAACAGAACTTGTTATCCTACTCATGTATTTTTCATAGATGTCAGAGATGTTGTTTCAGTGGGTTTTGAGCATCCGGGGGTCATAATACTCACTTAAAACCAAAATGACCACAGAAGCTCTAAGTTTATGTTCCCCCACTCTAAAAGTGGGTGAATCGCTAGAAACAGAAAAGATTTCATTAACAAATGACAAAGCAATTAACTGTTTGTATACACACACACACAGTTGAGGGGGTATGAAATGAATAGGTGTCGGGGCGTATGGCTGCTCCGCCGACATTCTCTACATGCAAAGCAGACTCTTTTCACCGACCGATTTCCTGTATCCTTCTTGAATCCTTGGTGCTTTGATTTTGCCAGCTGAAGGGAACGCTGACAACGAGCCAGAAGACATTTTGAGTGTGGGCATATGTGAGAAAGAGAGGGAGAGAGAGAGTGAGGCACGATGCCCAATGTCACATTTTCAAGTAGACTTCAATCTACTCAACATTCACACAATGAAGAGGTTTATGTATGTCAGAGTTAGAGGGAGGGAGGGCGGAGGAGGGATGCAAATAGAAAGCGAGAGGGATGCATAAAGGAAGAAGGCGAGCGAGGATGTGCTGGTCGTCATGGCAACCCAGCTGAGCGGCAAACGGAGCAGATGCGGCGCTGACATGTCATTCCATCACACGCATCCTCGCTCAGCCGTCCAGAGGGACACAGCAGTGCTTTAGCGGCTAATTCCCATTTCTTTTCTTTCTTCCTCTATTTCCCTTCCCTCCCTCCCCCCCTCCCCACCCTTCTCTCCCGCTTCTTGTCTTCTTGAAAATCTCTTTTCTTGTTCAATGTCTCTTTACCTTCCCCATCTTTCCTCCCTCCCATCTCTACTTCCTCCTCCTCCCTCCTGCATTTTGCCAAGCTCCTCCAGCTTAATCATGTCTCTGCTTTCAGTTTGTGCAAAAGATTTTTTCCTTCTATATTTTTGACATTAGGAGGACCAAGGTGAATGTTTTGGTTTGCTTGTAATGGTAAAGAAATAAGAAAACAATTGAGCTGAACTGTACTACCATGCATTTCTGGTGTATCCAAAGCCTACATATCTTATTCATCTGTGCCATAGAGCTCCATTATTGTCCTAAAACTGTGGGGCTGCACAGTGGGGCACAGCGGTGCTTTGAGCTAAATGCTAATGTCAGCATGCTAATAGGCTCAAGCTGATAATGCTGCATGCTTTAGTTTAGCGTGTTAGCATGCTATCATTTTCTAATTTGCCTGTCTGAACAAAAAACCATCGGACGACTTTTGACCATTTTCAGGTAGCATGTGCTGCTCATGACATTTCTGCATTTCAAAGTAAGAGAATAGCATGCAGTCTTTCTATGAGCCTTCGTTATTTAATTATGTTAATGAGGATGCTTTCGGACAACTTTCAGGTCCCTAAAGAGGTGGGCTTGCCCTGCCTCTTCAGTTGGCAATTATCTAGCTACTAACAGCCAGCCAACTCATCCTTTGTATTTTTCGTTTTACTCTTTCAGATGGGTAAAAGTCACAAAAAACTTAAAATCTTAGTAATAGTGTGCACTTACTAATGTAGTTGTAACGTCTGTGCAGAACGGCCATGTATTTACACTGAGAGATGTAAATATTCAATCCATCCATTCATCGTCAACCGCTTATCATGCATACAGGGTCGCGGGGGGCTGGAGCCAATCCCAGCTTACATCGGGCGAAAGGCGGGATACACCCTGGACAGGTCACTAGTCCATCGCAGGGCAGATGTAAATATTACCAGAAGATATTTACAAATGTTCATTTATAAAATTAATTTAAAGTATTCAATTTTTTTTATTTTATTTGTGGAATTTGCAGAATTTGGAGTATTTGCAGATGCCATTTATTTTTATGTATATTTAGATTTGTGGAAGTGTTTTATATTTACAGATTATACATTGACACACGGATTGTTGATCTGTTCCCACAAATCTCCATAGCAAATCAATGAGCCACTCCATCACACTGGGTAACATTTTCCTTCATTTCTATAAACACACACACTAGTTTAGTCAATCCCAAATACACCACCCTGCTGCTGTAAATACTCACTAGAGCATCTACCCCAATCCAGGACTGTACTAGATCATATATAGTGCAGGACACCTTCCTTACTCCCTGGCTGGAGTGCTGCTCAGCAGCCACTTTTTCCCCAGCTTTTTGGTCACATAAGCTGGTGAGTTTGTATTTTTAGCATTTTTCCTGCTATTCATTCATAGTTTCTGGAGATAGACATGCTGTTGGAGCTATAGGGTACCATATGGGTATTAATGTTCAGCTGAAAAGTTTCCCTCACAAATGCACTATTTTCTCCTGTTGAAGTTATTTTTTTTCGTGGGATCTGTTAACAATAAAATAACTACAGAATGAGCATATCCATTAAGATGTTTTGGAACCTAGTTTAACAAGCACACAAAAGAGGAAATTGTTCTTGGCTGAAATTTGAACAGAATATTTAGAATTGGATTTCCTTCTCCAAAGGTCTCACGTTCAGGGCAGCTGCTCAGAGCAGAAATCAAATTCAGCGACAAATCAGGGACAAAAAACTCTCACTGTCAAACCTCTTTTAAACATTAAAAAACAATCTCCCTCTGGCTGCGATGTGTCCACCAGCCTCCCTCTTTTCCTCTCCTTCCCCTGTAAAACCGCCCACCCGTCCAACATGCCTTCCCATTGTGTCCCACAGCACAGTTTTTTTCCCTCCTGAACCTGTCGTTATCTCCATCGCCGCAGGCCACCGCAACCACATTTAATGTGTGCAGAAATACAGCAGAATTAGCATTGGGGTGGCTTGAGCCACATTACAAAGGGCTAACTAATCCTCTCAATATTTACCTGATTAGGTTGGCCCGCTGGGGCGAGAGAGGAAGAGGCAGACATACAGAAAAAAGGAGAGAGAGAGTCTTTAACTTACACAGGGTGACAATGGCGCAGATGGGGCTGTGGCCCTCTAATAAGACCCCCTGTTGGTTTTGATGAGGAGTAATGGAGGGTGAGAAGGAAGGAGACGAGGGGGGTGGTGAAAGGCCAATTCCAGACAGACAGTTGGTTTAGTCAGTTAAGGGCTAATAGCCAGCAGGAGACAAGCAGTGGTAGGTATTTTTGCAAAATGAAAATACTGAAGAAGTCCAAACTCCAAGAAGTCAAAAGTGCTGCTTAAAGCGAGG